CCCAAACTCTGTATTTGCACTGTAGACCTTGCTGAAATTAACGCCTTCATCTCTGAGCAAATCCAAAATAATGAAGCGACAGGGTAGGTCTAGTGGCAGACACAGGACCGGAGGATCTTGTATTGACCCTCATATCATGCTGCAGAAATGGCCACCCACAATGCACCAGATGAGGAAGCATTGCCATGGTATCTGCTTCATGGAGGAATCCTGGGAACTTGCTCCTGAGGCCCCTGCTCCCTTTGCCCAGAGGGCGCTTGTTGCCTTTAACCCCCCTCGCTGCCTCTATATAATCTCCACTCCTTCCTCTCTCCCCCAGATAGAGGGAGAGTCCTCCCACTGGGTTTGTCACATACTGGCTCCTGTGTCGGGGCGGTCACACATTCTTTCAGTCCAATCTACTATTGAGTGCTGGGAAAATCAATTTCTTAGGTAATAAAATTAATTTCTTAGCAACCAGATGAGTCTGCATTATCTATCACACAACTGTGCCAACGTATTTCAAAAAACCTACAAGGTGATGATAAAGTATCTACTCATTATAGGTTAATAAACTGATAGCATAAGACATTTATTCATTTTCATATAAATGTAGTGGCTACCCGTTATCATGATTTATTCTCCAAATTTGGTCTCGTGTGCTTAAATTGGGAAGTTACAACATAAGAGGCTTATCTTTATAGCTGTCATTGGTGTCATATTTATATACATGCTACATTCACCAACACTTTAACAACTGAGTAGCAATATAAATTGAATAACTTTAAAGACTATATATGTTTCTGTCTAGTACAAGACTACATTCATTTATATTACAACCCATTTCTGTACAGGATTGGCTGCGGCAGAATGGAATCTGGATTCAACCATTGCCCCCTTTTTTTCTACTTGAAGCACACAAAATATCACTTTAGTTTCCTCTCCTATGACTGTAAAAATAACTTTAACATCAAATGGAAAGAAATGACTGCTGAAAGTATATATATATATATATATATATATAATGGAATGTTAGCTTGAGTGTTAACTTTTTACTTACATTGGCTGGGTTACTGTTCACATTTTAATATTTATCTACTAGTATTTTTTCCCCCTGAAGAATAAGCCCTACATCCTGATATAATCATTGTTAGTGAATGTTCCACCATCAGATGGACTTAGATTTTAAACTGCTGTGTGGTCTGCTAAAAGCCATTTAATGTTCTAAGCTTCAGGTTTTTCATTTATTAAGGGAAATTTTAGATAGATATATAGATAGATATATAGATAGATATAGATATAGAAATATAGATATAGAGATATATAGATATCATATCCCTCATGTATATGTTGTAAAGATAAATGAAACGGCATATGTAAAGCATGAGCATTTAGAGTACCAGCCAAATAGTAACTACTTAATAAATGCTAATAAGTATTTTAAGTATTGCTATTATTTTTTTTCTTTTTAAATGTATTTATTGGTTTCAGAGAGGAGGGGAGAGGGAGAGAGAGACAGAAACACTAATGATGAGAAAGAGTCATTGATTGGCTGCCTCCTGAACACCCCCCACTGTGTGGAGCCCTCAACCCTGGCCTGTGCCCTGACCAGGAATCAAACCATGACCTCCGGGTTCATAGGTCAAAGCTCAACCACTAAGCCACACTGGACCAGACATTGCTATTGTTTTAAAAGTTGAGCAAAAAGAGAATAAACCAAGCTGTTTACATTTCCCTTATAAGTTCTTTTTAAAATAAAAGTTCCTTTTTGCTCAAGAAATTTTGAGTAAGCTCAGCAGTTAATTTTAATCTTTTTTTAAGTCTCAAATCAACTGAAAGAAAGAGTTGGGATCCTTAGAAGTTGCTTCCATGTGATAATTCCAGTCCACATGCAGATGTAAACATTAGAAGTAGGGAGATGGGCATTAATATTTTTGATCACTATGGTTTATAGGTGAGAAATCAGAGGCAAAGGAAAGTTAGACTTTTTGTCCAAGATCACAGAGTGGGAGGCAGAGTAGTGAGTGGAATGGAAGCGCTTTAACATGCAAGTCAATTTCTTTCGGTCTCAGTTTTTAATCAGTTATCAAATTAAACTCATTTAATATAAGGCTCATGCAATAAGAAGCTAATTTCATGTAAACCAGGAGTCCTAATATCAGGGCCTATTATATTATAGGTATCCTAATAGGATTGTGTTCATGTACAGAGAAAACACCCTTGAAATTGTAGATGTACTTTTTCTACATTATGTATGTTACTATGTCATGTCATCAACATCCAACAGCTGCATATCTATACTGTACATTATATATATTTTTTGAATTTTGAGTAAAAAAAAATATTCTACTAGTATTATCTGACAAAACTAAACCCTCCTACTCATTACTTCTGCCAAAAGAGAAGGAAAAAAAAAGAGAGAGAGAGAGAGAGGAGAGAGGGACAGAACAGATGGATAACTTTTGGTTCTTAATTTTCATCCAGTGGAAGTCAGATAAAAGTAGTTGCTAATTCTTAATAAATTAAAACATTTGCCTCCTTATTTCAAAGCAGTTGTTTAGCCTCTGGTTGACTCTGAATTTCCTTTACATGTTATTTATTGCCATCCGTGTAGTTAGGCTACTTGGGAGAATAGAACGGAAAACCGTGAAGTGTGCTTGGAGTATCAAGTGATGTGTGACCAGTTGACCAGTTTGCAAGGCAGGGAGGGTGTGCCCTTCATAAGCCAATAGATCTCCTTTGTTCTCAGCAGCTGATGTAAGTCTGAGGAGTGTACTTGTGATGCTGTTTACCCTAGACTTGCTTTTCTAACTCACTGCATGACAGGATCATCTCCAAAGAGGCTGAGAGAAGGGTCTCCTGACTCCTAAGAGGACACGCTGTCTATTTTCAGATCCCAAGTTGAGCCTGTGATGGACAGGCAGCAAGTTTCAGGCAGCAAACACAGCATCATCGAAAGCTTCAGAGGGACCTGGGCAAGCCGTGTCACCTCCTTGTCTTTTAGTGTCTGCATCTAGAAAAGGCAACTGATGAGCTCTATCCTCCCTCCCCGATTGAAACATGATGTATATACAACATGCTCGTTGCACAGAAGGAAACTATTATCATTGCCCTGTTGCTAATAGTAATAGGTAACAGACTGAAAATCAGTGTTTAAGGGGATGTTGTCAGAGTCGCAGAAGAAATGGGGTTCTGGCTTTCAGGGGTACAGTATTGAGGAGATGGGGAAGGGAAGTGTGATGAGAGAGTAGAGTGCTGTGGGCACCAACTTCCTCAGCCTGAGGACACTTGTCAGGCAAAAGCTCTTGCTGAAAGAGATGATTTATTCTTCCAACAAAAATGGACATTCCCGCCCTAACCGGTTTGGCTCAGTGGATAGAGCGTCGGCCTGCAGATTGAAAGGTCCCAGGTTGGATTCCGGTCAAGGGCATGTACCTTGGTTGCGGGCACCTCCCCAGTAGGAGGTGTGCAGGAGGCAGCTGATTGATGTTTCTAACTCTCCATCCTCCTCCCTTACTCTCTATGAAAAATCAACACAATGTATTTTTTAAAAAGGGACTTTCCCTTGGCATCCATTCCATGATATGGCAGAGGAGTGATTATGCCCCAATGTCTGCCTATGGCTTGAGGGCTTTAGGGTGTCTGTCCTAACGTGCATTATTTCAGTGTAACCCCATGGAGCATGACTTAAAGGGTCAGTTTTCCCTCTGTGAGAACATCTGGAATCTAAATAAACAATTGTGAACCAGTTGAAACCGGTTTGGCTCAGTGGATAGAGTCGGTCTGCAGACTGAAGGATCCCAGGTTCGATTCCGGTTATGGGCATGTACATTGGTTGCGGGCACATCCCCGGTAGAGGGTGTGCAGAAGGCAGCTGGTCGATGTTTCTCTCTCATCAATGTTTCTAGCTTTCTGTCTCTCTCCCTTCTTCTCTGTTAAAGATCAATAAAATATATTTAAAAACAAAAACAAAAAACACAATTGTGAACCAGAGAAAAAAGTTGGACAAGTCCAAAGGAAAGTGGGTTTCTTAGGATCCTTCAACCCTAGGTGTGTTTTCTTACAAGGACTTTTCCCTATACAACCCTACATAACCATAGAATCATTATTGCTGGATTTTGCTTTTGTTTCCTCATGATTGCATTCAAGTTAAAGATTCTTGAACACTAAATAGGTGGTGGATTCATCAGATCGGGAGGCATAAAGACAATATATCTGATTACTGATGCTGATTTGGACTACTTGGTTAGATGCTGGCCTTCTAATCACTTCTTGCAATTACTAAGTAATTTATTTGAAGATAATTTAAGACCACACAGTCTATTATCAAGTGGCTTAGCATATGTTGAGGACTCTTGTCTGAATCAATTATTACATTGGTAGACCTTATTTTAAAATTAAAATTAACTGCTGCTTAATAATGGTTCCTCATTCCAGCATTTAAGGTCATAATATAATTTTTTTCTTTTTTGCTGTTTTTATTTGTTGTCTAAAAATTTAAGACCAAAGGAGATGATCCAATTCTATGAAAACATTTCTCATGAAATAGAGCACATGTTAGGAAGGCGGCCAAAAAAAACCATTGTGCTGCTATATTTTAGAAATCAACATGTATTTTTTAAAAAGAACAACTCTTGCACAAGATTTAATATTGTCCGTGATGTTCAGCTTTTATAGTTTGTAGAAGAAACACTGTAATATGTCATTTAACATCATAAAGGAATCTCTTGTCTGTCCACTGATAACTCATTGGCAATGCACCACAGCTGTTAAGAGGCAGCTCAGGAAAAAGGGGGGAAACCTGCAAGCCAACCATCTGACTTTAATTAGGAAAGAGAATCGTCCCTAAATGTACGAGGATGAGGTCTTCTGCAGGTTACAATATGACAGAACTTGAAAAGAGGTAATATAATGACCCTCTGTATGAAGGTTAGTTCATGCTTTGAAGGATTTATAATATGGAATCCCCACCCTTTCCTGACCACAAGTAAACCTTTGCTTTAACGATAGTAAATACTCACCAAGGCACAGAAATCCATGCTTCCTCATTACCGAAGGCCTGCTGGGCACCAGGGCAGTGCCTCCATTGGCTGGGATGGGTAAGGCTATGGGTACAGCAGGCTCTGTAGGTGAAGAAGATCAGGAGTTCAGTTTGGGACATGATATATTTGAGACATCCACTAGACATCAAAATGGAGATATAGAATGCATAAAGGTTCCCTTTTCTCTATATCCTCGCCAACACATGTTCTCTGGTCTTTTTGATGATAGCCATTCTAACATATGTGTGAGGTGATAACGTGATTTTCATTTGCATTTTCCTGATGGCTAGTGATGTTGAGCACCTTTTCGTGTACCTGTTGGCAATTGGTATGTCTTCTTTGGAAAAGTACCTATTCAGATCTTCTCCCCATTTTTTAGTCAGGTTGTTTGGTGGTTTTTTGTTTTTGCTTTTGAATTGTATGAATACTTTATATATTTTAGATATTAGCCCATTATCAGATATATGATTTTCTAATAATATCTCCCATTCTGTAGGTTGCCTTTTCATTTTGCTGATGGTTTCCTTTGCTCCCAGGCCTTATTCTGGGCACAGCACGTGCCCCGGGCATGCTTGTCCTCTTTCCAATTTGTTTTCGTCTCCTCTTTTCCCACCTCGATGGACTATAGCTCGCTCTCCCTGCCACGTGAGACTCAGAATGAGCAGCCAGTACATATCAGGCGCTGTACTCAGAGTCCTTGTGGAATCCTGAGAGAGAGGAACTACAGAGCTTTCAGAGGAGATTATTCTGGGTGGGAATGTAGGTGGGACCCAGGTGCCAGGAGCTGGGCCCATTGCTGGCTCGTACTTGTATTGGCAAAGCGACTTCAGATGCACTGCCTCCTACTTCTCACTTGCAAATGGGCGAAAGCACGAAGAATCAGAAAACAGTCTGTTGTGTGTATGTCAGTCATCGCTGTTAGCTGTGCACCCGAAGGCCCATTTTGATTCCTAGTTGTCTTTTGACTTCATTGTATGTTTCCCTGACCTTTGTCCCTTTACCTTTTTAATCTAACTTCACTACTTACTGCTCAGAGCTTTTTCCTCCTCCTTTTCCAAAATTAGAGGAGAGCAGCTTGTCACTGCTCAACCCATAGACAATGTGGGTCCCGAAGGACCATCCCGGCTAAGGTGGCCGCCTCGCCCAAAGCAGCTCCGGCTTTAGTCTCAGGCCTTTTAAGGGGAAAGCGGTTTCATACAAGTTGTTTCCGGCTGCCTGCTTTGACTAGAGGCAGGACACGCAGGTTTGTGGTGCCCTGAAGGGAAAAGATCCATCCTATGGCCGCCGAGGCCTCAGGCCTCATTTCAGAAACCAGGAACTGAGGCCCAGTGCTCTGGATCGGTGATGCCGCTGGGCCTCGCCAGGTTTTTCAGTCTCTAAACCTCCACCCTTTATAGAAATAAACACCCGCGTCACATGACCCACACGAATTTTTTTTCAAGTCTTTAGAAAATTATTTCCTACATTTGATAGCTGATGTGGTAGAAGGGGTATGATACCTGCCCCCTAACTCAAATGCTCGGAGACTAAGAGAGCAGCCTATTTTAAATGCACACTTTCTTTTACGGGCTTGATTGAAATAAAAGGCTGGCTGGAGGTACATTAGGTTTCTCCAAACACAGTCTCGACAGAATTGGAAGGAAGATGAGCCGGTTGTTCCGAGCTGGTTGTTCTCCAAATATAACCATTCCGTCTGTGCATCCGGAGATATTCTCTTTGTGGTTCGTTTTTTGGTTCTCTTCCAATTTGCATGTTTACCAAAGTCTCAAGGAGAGAAGAAGAAGAAAAAAACATTAGGATTCACCCCCAGCCCCTAATCCATTTAAGTCAAAACTGGAGAGGAGAGAGAGATTTGCAGCTTTCAAACACCATTAGTTCGCTAATGACAGCGCTCGCCCTCTGACGGTGCTCAGACTGATAAGATGCGCGGAACATCCACCGCGAGGATGGGGCCATTTGCAGGCCCCGCGCGGTCCCTGCAGCTCGCACATGTTTCCCAACATAATTTCATGCCTGCTTTCTGACAGCTCATTAAACACAGGCCTCTCGGTGCCTATATTGCCCGTCTCCCCGCTGAGAGCGGAACATATTTACGGCCTTTGCAGATTGCCGGCTGCTGGCACCTTCCCTTCCCCGTTGGCCTGCCTGCCAACTGCTTATCAGTCTCCCCCGAAGGTGACAGCCCCTCGTTTTGTTCGGTGGCGATGGTCCCATGTCTGACCCTCAGAGGCCAGCAGCCGCGTGGTGCGGAGCGGCTCCTGCACCAGCCAGATAAAGGCCAGCAGGCGGGTGGGGACGTGGGGACGGCGCGGAGGGCGCCCGGGGCCTGGCCGGGCAGAGATCCATTCAGGAGCACGCTGGCAGTGCTCAGCGACAGCTGGCAAGGCGCTGCCGGCCGGGGTTTCTGCCTGGAGAAAGCAAACAAGGCTTCGGGAGTGCTGGGGAGCGATCCGGGGCCGTGTACAGGGGTGATCAGGGCGGCTTGCTCCTAATTACCTGCCTCTCGACTGCCATTAAATCATCCCCATGCAGCCAAGCCCATAAAAGCCCCTCTGAAGACGGCACCTTCCACTGAATGTTTATCCCTCCTCCCGCCTGTGCCAGCAGCCTTGGGCGGGTCCTGGGAGGACAGGTGAAGACATCCCGGATGCAGCGAGAGGCTGCGGGCTGCATCCATCTGCCGCTGCGGGCTCTGACAGCACTGGTAACAGGTTTCTGCTGCGGTCCTGGGGGCACGGTGTCATTTCCACCAAACAGGGACAGAGAGAGGAGGGCGGGGAGGGAGAGCAGGCAGGAGGGAAGGAGAGAGCAAGCCCTCCTTCTTCCCAGCTGGCTCGCAGTGAAGGCAGCCCTTAGCTGCCTGGGCCAATGGCCAGGCTCCCAGGGCAGAGGTGGTGTCGAAGCCTCAGATGACCTTGGCCCCAGACAAGTCTGTGGTGCCTCGGGGATCTGCCTGATGCCCACGCAGGGCCAAGGCTGAGGTGTCACTTTCCAAGCACCTCCTTTGCATGAGGCAGCGCGCTAAGCATCTTCCTACAGAACCGTCTTTTCACTTAAGGCAACTCCACTCTGGGGTGGGCAGCATGGAGCCTCTGCACAGAAGAAACGGAGGCCCAGAGACGGACAGGCTCAGGCAGACGCTCTGTTGGTCAGCAATTGCCTACGGGTCTGTGGGTTCCTAAGTCCCCGTGCTTGGCCGCCCAGCTCCTGCTGAGTTGCTGAGGACATGAACATGACCGCAGAATGAGTTGTTGCTAACTCTGTGTCCTCTCTGCAGGTTCTCAAAGCCCAGCATGCATGCCCAGCAGCCAGAGAGGCGGTGGTCAGTGGAGACCCCCAGACGTCCTGCATGAGGAGGGGCCCCAGACAGGGGATAAGCAATCTTTTTTTCCTTCACTTTGTGGAAGCAACCTGCGTGGTTCTATACAGGGGGGGCTCTGGAGATCATGCTGAAAATCTGACTCCTAACCTGGGTGCCCCCTTCTCGTAGTTCCCTATAGAGTGCTCCCAGCACATAGTAGGTGCTCAATAAACACTAAAATCAGGGGGAATGATTCTGTCCGATGTCATTCCTCTGTGCCTTAATTAATTAATTAATTAATTTATTAAAATATATTTTATTGATTTATTAAAAATATATTTTATTGATTTTTTTTACAGGGAGAAAGGGAGAAAGATAAAGAGTTAGAAAAATCTATGAGAGTCATTGATCAGCTGCCTCTTGCACGTCTCCTACTGGGGATGTGCCCGCAACCAAGGCACATGCCCTTGACCGGAATCAAACCCGGGACCCTTCAGTCCACAGGCTGATGATCTACCCACTGAGCCAAACCGGTTTCGGCTGTGCCTTATTTTAAATTGTATTGAAACATCTGTGCCCTTTAATTGGTTTAGAAGGAAGCAGGGGCTAAATCTTACACAAATAAAATTTATGTTTCTAACAAGCCCTGAGCACTGACAGGGTGACATCGCTCACTGTCAGACCACCACCTCCTGAGGGGGAGGCAGCTGAGCCTCTGACCCCAGCAGTCCAGCATGGCGATGGCCCTTCCAGAACTGATGGAGTCATTGAACGTTTGCAACAGGATTATCATTGCTTATAAAGCATCCCATGTGCACATTTGCTAGTTGTGTGCGCGAGCACTATTATCTATTACACGCAAACATTATTTGCTACATTGCTTATAAATTAAACTCTGGCTTGCTTTCTGAGGTGGCCGGTTGTTTTTTGTGCACTGTAGTTCCTGCGAACCGACCAGTGGATATTATTTTTGATGAATCCTGACTTGGAAAGCAGGTATCACTGGCTCTGTTTTATGGAGGAGGAAAGCGAGGCACAGAGAAACTAGGTAACATCCTCAGATGGCATAACTCCCAGGTGGCACTGCTCCCAGACAGCACAGACGCCACAATAAAATACTGCCTCTATTTCACTCTGTTGCCTAAAGACCAAACTGGTGATTTAAAACCGAATAGAGAAAATACTGGAAGGAAGTAACCGCAGTTAATGATGGTTGCCTTTGGGAGATGTGATATTGGTTCTCAATACTTTTTTTTGGTACTTTTTAAATTGTACATGCAGAACGTCCATAATTGTGAGAAAGCTTAAACACAGACACACACAACTTGGGATCACACTATTCTGATTAAACTTAATTATTATTAATTTATCAGGAGATTTTTTTTTTTTTTTTTTTGCTTTAGTAGTTTATTTGAATATATGAGTTTTGGATTTAAAAAAAAAAAAAACACAAGAAAGAAAATATTCAGGCACAGCAGGACTTTCTCCTAATTAAAATTATTCTCGTCACAAGGAAACCAGATTATTGCTCGTGGGAGAATTTGGGGTTTGGTTCTGAACAAAAGAAAGCAGAACAGTGTTTGCTGACTGATGTGTCCTACTGAGCTGAGGAAGGGGTGAGGGCATCTTATGTTTTCTCACCACCCTGCAAAGCTTATAGAGGACTTTCTCTCCCTTCCTTTCCTTATGGGCTCATGATCACAGACCTCCTGCACCCCGTGCCCCAGGCACCCGAGTTTGAACTCTATTCCCAGCATTATAAAGTGGGCTGAGTGTGTTC